GACTGCTGAGTCTGCATCTGAAGAAAACCCTCTGGCTATGACTCTTGTAGAACATCCCTCTGGATCTGTTGCTCCTGACTCTGCATCTCTTATGGAAATTGACTTTGTTCCTGCTTCAGAATCTGCCCCACCTTCTTCATCTGAGATCAAGAAAGAATATCCAGATCTTGAAGATAAGATTGCAGTTCTGGAAGCCGGTCAATCTGAGATTAAGTCATGGATGGCCAAGTAAGATAAGAAGTCTGAAGATATGGCTCAATGGATGTCCAAACAAGATCAGAAGAATGAAACCATGGCTAAGTGGATGTCAAAGCAAGAACAGTCCTCCTCTGAGATCACTAACCTATTGAAGATGATTTTGTCCAAACAAACTTAGTTTATTTTTTTATCTGATGTTTGCACATGTACTTGAATCTTATCTAATGTTTGTATTATTTGCTCTGAATGAATGAATGACTCAATGTTTTCTCTACCTAATTTATCTTTTCTGTCTTTCCTTTTATTTGTCTTTTAAAGTTTTTTACTTTTTGATTATGACAAAAAAGGGGGAGAAAATAGATCTGACTGTTTAAATAAACTCTACCTAAATGAGACTTCAGACATATCAATTCTAACTAACGTAAACTCTTAGTGTTTCAGAACATTTGATAAATCTGACATATTCTTTAAAAGAAACTCTGAGACTCCCAGATCATATTTAACTTATCAGACTCTGAATCTGAAACATACAAGATCTAATGTTTAGAACATTCAAGCTCTAATTTTGAAAAGAATACTCAAGACAAAAAGGGAAGTTTCTATTCCTTATTAATATTCAATTCAGGGGGAGATTCATCATCTCAGGGGGAGTTATAATTATTTTCTTTACTATTAAACAAAATTTCTGATGTTTTTGTCATCATCAAAAAGGGGGAGATTGTTAGAACACAGATTGGTTCTTAATAATATCTCTATGTTTTGATGATAACTATTATGAAATTTTGTATTAAAGAATTATATACTCTAAAATTTGCTTGAGAATGTTTGCTGCAGATGTTAAAGTAAATATCACTCCAGAAGCAAATTAGATCTGAACAAAAGAAATCTGCAAGGCTCTGAAGCGTCAGAAGCATCTCTTAGAAGATTTTGAACGTTGCCTCCAGAAGATTCTGAGCGCTGCCTCCAGAAGAATCTGAAGCAGAAGCTACAGAAGCATCTGAAGCAGAAGCCAGAAGCATCTGAAGAAATGAAGAATTTTGTATGAGGAGTTTTCAAGCACAGTTACTTCAGAAGACTCTGATAGTACTAACGCTGCTAGTACTGAGGATCTGACCCAAAACTCTGCTCTGAACATATACACGCTGAAAGCACACTTGCTGCAAAGACTCTGATTCAGCAAACTCTGATGAACATCAGAAGGCTCTTACCAATTTAGACTCTGATGATTCTTGCTGAAAATTATTGAAGAAGAATTCAAAGATTATGTCCGTTGGAATAACCAAACGACTCTTTCCTTATTTATGCTAGACACAAGAACACAGACAAAAAGGATTTCTCTGTGTATTCTTCTTCTAGGAAAGGTCACATGATGTGAAGACAAAAAGGCTCAGACCTTTTTGGTACACTATTCTCAACGTGAAAAGCTCTTGGATCACTGTGCCTATAAAAGCAAGTCTCCAGTCATCTTCTTTAGTTGACGAAACAGTTGAAAAGAATTCATTATAAAGCTCTCATACAATTCATACATTCTTGCTAGAATTATTTCATTGTTCTTAATCTTAAGTGAAAAATCACAGTTGTGATAAAGCTTTATTAGAAGCATTTTTAACACTTGTATTAACATTACATTTGATTGTAAGATAACCTTAAAAAGATTCAGTTAGGATCAGTAGTTCTTGAGAAGACTTTGAACAGTTGTTCTTAGTGCTTACTATTGTAATCAGTTGATTAAATAGTGGATTAAGTCCTTGTTTGAGAAAGGCAAATCACTCTAGATAGGGTGGACTGGAGTAGTTGAGTTCAACGAACCAGGATAAAAATCCTTGAGTTTTTATTTCTATGTTTTATCTTCATACTTATTCCACCCCCCCCCCCCCTTCTAAGTATTTTCTCACCTTCATGGATTGCTTTAGACATGAACTTTTCAAGTCTTGACCTAATTTCTTCATCTATCAACTATACAAATTCTAGACATAGGTTTGAAGTTGATATCTGCTTTGTATTAATCTTAATGTTTCGAGTGTCATTTAGAGAGATCATTTAACGGTCGAAACAATAACATTCACGAAATCGCTTTAGAAATTAACGTTTTTGCGAGAATACGCGGTTATGTTGGTTAAAACTTTGTTCACATATTCGATCGGTTGGATACGTTTAGGACGGATTAGCGAACCCTAATCTTGACATGCTTTTATCAAACTTAGACCGAATTTTATTCCGTTTTATTTCTTGCAAACTTCTGTTACAAAAATAGAAACCATTTAAAAAAACCCCTTTCTTAAATCATTAAACCGTTGAACGACAAGCATCTATATTCTCATCAATCCTTGTGGATACGATAAAACACTACCGCAAAATACTTTCTAACAGTACCCATCTCTCAGAATCCTTTTGGACATAGCATATCCATTGGCATGAGTGCCAAATGTTCCTTCATGAATATCTTGCATTAACAAGTATGCTTCTCGTCTGTCGACACATCTAAGTAAGACCATGTCATAATCCCTTTTATAAAGTACATCATTACTGAGAAAAAATTTGGATGTTAGTCTCCTCAAAGTTGTCTTGTCAAGGGATGTAGCGTCAACTGGGTACTCCTGATTCTGAAGATACTTCTTGATATCATAAAACCATAGTTTCCCGTCTATCTCTTTTTCAACCATCTGGCAGTAGGCTAGCTCGATGTTCCTTTCAATCCTGATGAGTGTAGCTTCATTAAAAAATCTGACCTTCCACATTAAGGCCAACATAGCCAATGCAACGACAATATGATTTTCAGACCTCGGGACATGTTTGAAAGTGATCTCATCAAAGTACTTGATCATTTCAACAATGCTCACAACAACAATTAACAACGACATAACCTAATACCAAAAGTCTTCACCATTCTCAACAATCGGAAAATAACAACGTACCCAAATAAAACAACTCAATGCATCAACTTATCTAGGATATTACAACCATCAAGATGATTTTCTTTGGTGTTAACATCATCATAAGGACACCAACATCATTTTCCACTTTTCTCCAAGCACGACTAACTCCATTTGGGTCTGACTCCTCAACTAGCCTCTCAATTTTCCTGATCTTTTCACCTGCAGCAATTTCTCCTTCTAGCCAGCGATTCAATTCCTTATGCAAATGCTCTAAGGTCTGCGTGTTCTAGATTAGGACCTTCATCGGAGGCTTTGTTGCTGAAAAATAAACTAGGGCATTTCTTTTCATAAGTGGAAATGTTGGAAGTGGTTCCTCCGATGATGATGATGATGAACGCTGATTTAAGAATGCATACATACTTTTAGATTGAGTTGAGAATATTGGTGATAATTGTTGTGGTGGAGAGTTGAGGATATTGGTGATAATTGTTGTGGAGTAACAAATGAGGATACAATCTTATTTAGAAAAAAATGGAATAGGGTAGTAGCCATATCATATGGCATATCTACCCATTAAAAAAAAACATTGTTTTAATTAGAAATAAAAAAAACACATCAAATGGCTTTTAAAAAAAAGGAATGAACTGAGGCGTCATATGATATGGTGCATTCTCTTTAATTATGACACACATTCAATGTTGTCGCCATATTATATGGCGCATCAATGTTAAAACTACGTTAGTTTGAAATTTTTTTGAAAGCTGGATTATTTTGATATTTTAATTGAATTATTAGGTTATTTAAAAAAAATTCAATAAGACGATTGAATTAAAGCTAGATGTAAAGCTAGATGTAGTATATATTTGTGGTTCATGTAGTGAGCCATCAAGCTACATAAAGTTAATACCCATTGTAATAACTATAATTTAACAAAACAAATAGTGTTAAACAAATTAAATATAATAAATTTTATTTTAATTGGTAAAATCAAGATCAATTTTTATAAACCGTTATTATATTATAATTCACCTATAAAAAAGTATCCAAAAAAAGAACGCATTGATCATGTGATGTTTATCATCTTGACAATATTTTTAAGGAATGCCTATGTTCAATGGTAAATATGTCTAGAGATTTCTGCATAAATAGAAAGAAGTGAAAAACAACACTCTTATTTGCCTAGGGGAGTAGAGGAGAGAAATGTTATAGTGTTGGAATGTTAAATATGGGATGTGCAATTAAGAAAGGCCGGCAATATATGAGGTTCCTTGTAAAGGATAAAGTAGGAATGTCGGCTGAAAATTTTTAGGGGAAGATAAGACTTTTGCAAAGAATATGGAACCCTAGCTTGAGGTCTAGGTAATTTTCCTTTGCACTTGCTTCTGCTAATTCATGTAATTATCGCCTTAGGCGAGGTTCAACTTTGACAAAACAAAAAGGGTTCTATTTTCCTAGGTTAAACGGTGATAAATATTTTATGAAATTGTATTTTGGCACAATTTAACCGTTGAAAATTTGACACATGTAATCGTATTTTGGCACAATTTAACAGTGGAAAATTTGAGACAATGTATGGCAACCCACTTTACACACTCTCAAATACGACCTTGATCACAACAAAAACACATAAACCAATAAGAGCAATTTGTTAATTGGTAAATCAATCATCAATGATATACCAAATTTATATGTACAAGGTTTATTATTTTGCAGCTAGCTGCATATGAATGGATTGTATAAGTGCATCCTTTTCCGCACCATCCTCATTACAACGCAATATTTCCTTCAGATGTTCATACCATATTACCATGTTACTAACAAAAACTCTTTCTGACTAACCTATACACTTGAAATTTCTTGTATACCTACCTACATTAAATTTATCAAGATTCATCGTAGAACCAAAACCAACAAATAAGAAACAAGTTAAGCCTTAACAGCAGAATTTGTTCTGAGTGAAGGTAATGATGACAGAAGATTTCTAATTTCAAAACCCTTTCCCCAAAAGGAAGAAAGGCAGAGACCCATTATAGCCATGGAAACTACAGAACATGCAGGAGGAACTGCTTGACTACTTCCTAAAAATTGTGTTGCAAGAAGACCTGCAAGGGTGGAGCTCTGCATTCCGGTGCATAATGAAATTGTTCGGTTCACCTGTTCTTCTTGCCTGTGACAGTATATTTATGTGATATGTCAGACAATATTTTGAACTAATATAACTAATTACTGAAATCTGCAACTTAATTTAGTACTTATTTTTTCCCGATACTTTCTAAAGTTAGCATACCTTAAGGGTGGAAGTTTCGAGAACCAATATCCTAACGTGAAGGCAGCAGCATGAAATATTAATACTGGAAAAACCAACCGAAGACCTTCGCCTGACAAAATTTGACTTCGGTTTATAGCAAGAGGGCTGCCAATGCATAATGAAGTGCAAATCATAGCAACAAACGGCATCACAGGCCGAAGAAGAGATACAACTGGCTTTGCATATGTATTGAGAAGAAGACCAAGTGTCACCGGAGCAAGAACAACCTGTCGATTTTTTACAAATTAAATTCTCATTAAATCAAATTCAGGTTAGTGTTGTGAATTGCAAATTGCAGAAATAATGGTCTGTTCAAATTTCACTAAGCTACGTGCTATAGCGACAACACTTTGTACTAAATAGTTGTGCTAAATAGTGTATCTTGGAATAACAGTTATTTGTTTAAATTCCAAAATGCAATAGCGCTATAGCAACCACACTTTTGTAGTAAATAGTTTTCGCAGAACAAGAACAATTTGTTTAAATTCTGATATGCGATAGCGCTATACAGAGTCATCTTTGAGGGTGTGCAACATAGGCTATAACACGGGGTCTCCGATTTGTCACGGTTAAATTGTTGCTAAATAGGGGCTCATAATGGATTTGTCACGGCTAAACCATAGCTAAATAGGACTCCTAGTTGTTTTGTCTAGGTTGGGTCATGACTAACCTACACAAAGCCTCTAAAAACTTAAGACGGCTTTGGTGCCATAGCACTGCTACTTAACAACATTGATTCGAGTAGAATAATAATGCAGAAGCAGTCACAACTTACCTGTAATATTGACTTTGACATGGCAACAGCATCAACTGGCACTACAGAACCAATTAGAAGACCAGTTAATAAAGGCGTAAGAATAACCGATGCAATAGTGGTATAGCTTGTAAGGACAATGCATAGGGCTACATCCCCTTTGCTTATAAAGCTTGCATAGCTAGATAACTGAGCCCCTGAAACACAAGCCATTAGGACAAAGCCAGCATAAAACATTCTAGGCAAACCAAAAGCCTTTGCAATCAAGACACCAAGTACAGGTTTCAGCGCATATTGAGCAATAAATCCAATGGAAAGTGGTAAAGGCCTGCAACAACAGAATCATCAAAATAATCAATATTGGAAGAATTTCAATTCAATTCTTAAAAAATCGGCAGAAAATAGTAATGAAATTCCAACCTTTTGAATGCAAGAGCAAAATCCTCTATGGATAGTCCTATCCCAATCGACAACATAATGCCACCAAGAGCTGGAGCATATAACTCCTTAGATACCCTGAAAACAGTTAAACAAATCGAAGGTTCAGCTTTTTTCATATCTATATGTTTAGGAATTACAAATTATTAACCGAAAAAGACAAGCAAAATACATTTGATTATTCAATAAATCCTAAAAGTGATTTTTTTTTTCTTATAATAAGGACCAGGTGGAGTATACAGACCGACAAGAGGGCATTCAGAATAAGGATATGGATTCACACTCGCATATTCAGCACATTGGTGACAGTTAAATCAAAGTTGACCTGTCCAAAAAACCAGATTCGAATTTGGACAGTTCAATCATAATTCAACTGCACCATACATGAACAAATTTCCATAGCAAAGAGGATCTAATATAATACACTGCTCTCTTACAAGCCATTAATCAAACACATCACAGTCTAATAGTTAAACATTTAGCAATTAATTAACATTCACCAATAGTCTCAATAATAATAAAATAAAAAACAATCTTTCAAGCATAAGTTCAATCAATAGAAAATAGTAAATGTCAGTTTCATGGAATATTTTAATGAAAACAAAAACCAATTAAAAAATCCCACCATGTAAAAGTGGAAGGTTGAGAAAGAGCAGCAACAGCAGTAGCAGCAACAACAAACGGAAGCAATGCAGACAAAATCTGAGACCAATCTCTTTCACCAACATCGCCATCACTATCACCACCAACAACAATACTTTCATCAACACTTTCATCATCAACAACAAATTTAAGAGATTTCCGTTGTCTGTCACTAAACCCATCCCTCCGATGAAAATTCGAAGTAGAGCAAGCGAAGCTCGACATAGAGCCACTGTTTGATGATACCCTTTGAATGGAAAAGGAAGAGCGAGAACAACGTAACAGGGGTTGTGAAGTTAAAAGGTTATGTTTTTGTTTTGTGTTGGGTAAAGGAGAGAAAACGGAAACTGAAGCCATTGAAAGGGAAATAGTCAGTTATGGCGTCGCCGGCGACGAGAGTTTGAAGTCGCCTGCAAGTTAGGAGAGAGAGGGGTTTGAAGATTTATGATGATAGTGTGTGAATGTGAAGAAAATAAAAGTGGTGAGTTGTGAGAGTAATAATAGTTCATGGTTGTATGTTAGTTACAGATTGGGTTAGTTCTAGATTGAGCTATCATAAATTAAATTTTGTTAAATTTAGCAACAAAAATGAAAAACATTGGATAAGAGTAATTTTCGATTATCTTAAAAAAATCCGTTAAATAAAAAGTTAGTATAGATAGGGGTGTTTGTTTTAACAAAGTTTACCGGGCATACATAGACTAACTTATAAAAAAGTTTTATACAATCATCAGCAATATTATATAAAAAGTTTTATATAATCATCAGTAAAATTATATAAATTAACGTTCAAACGTACACTCTCATATTTATTTATCTATTTTTTTAATGTGTATACGGGTCAATACATAAATGTATTTTATTGCGCTAACAAGTATATATCTTTTATGATGTTTTTGATATAGAGATTCTAAATCTTATTCAAAAACCAAAGCATTCAAAATACAATTTATATTGTGTCATATTATTAATTTTGAATGCTTATTTATATTGAAAAATCTTATTCAATATAAATTATGTTAGCAAAAACTTTGATATAAAGAACAAAAATCTTATTCAATATAAATTACCATTCTTTGATATAGACATTCAAAGTCTTTGTTCTTTTTTCTGTCATATTATTTATATTGAATACGATGACGTTCTTTAAGAAGAAGACCAAACATTAAATCTTTATCCAAATAATTTTTTTTTCTGCAGTTTTTTCCAGTAGTTCAAAAATATAAGACTCACATCATAACTTAGTCAAAACTCTTATAAAGAAAAAGATAGTAAAATTAATAGTAATCATATTTTCAATTCTTCAATCTCTCTTCCTCCCTCCCTATGACTAATAAATTACCATTAGCAGAAACTTTGAATATGAATTATTTATATTGAAAAGTCTTATTTAATATAAATGTCGTTAGCAGAAATTTTGATATAAAGAACAAAAGTTTTATTCATTATAAAGAACAAAAATCTTATTCAATATAAACTACCGTTAGCAGGTATATATATTCTTCTTAAAGATTTTATTGCGCTAACGCTAATTTTGTATATTATTAGTTATAGTTAATCATCAAAATTTAAAAATAGGATGCAAAAACAATAGAATGAAAGAGAAAACAACAAAGACTTTGAGTGTTCCTTTTTGACAATTATATATTATTCATCATCAATTCTTATTAAAGATTTTTTTTTTATTTAGTGCATTTAATTATACTATTGATATTTTATTTTAGTTATGTATTGCAATATTAAATTTTATTTAAGAATATATTAAAAAGTAATATTAATTTGTATTAAATTCTTGTCGTACAAATAAATATAAGAAAAAAATAAAGTACACATAAATCTTAAATGGAGAAAAGAATAATTTATTTATTTTTATTGAAAATAGAAAACGTAACAAAAAAATAAAAGAATCTACAAAACACATGATACCATCAATTAACCAGAGTATGTTTTTGTTCTGAATGGTTGTTTTTTATTACTGAAAAGAGTTGTTGTACTTGTACATAATACTAAAAGAGAGTGGTTGCACTTTTACAAAAATCTGAAACGCATAGTGAGGAGAAAATATATATAAGTGAAGATGAGGAATTTCCCCCCCCCTACTTACCTCTTACACACCATCGATTATGAATGTGTTTTATCTAATTGTAACTGTTGTTTTCGGATTTGAAAAATTGAGTTTGGCACAAGGAAATTATCGGGACGAGTCGCGTACTAGGTCGCTTTCTTTAAGACGTTTCGTCGTACTGCCAAAATATGCAAAGCAGTCGATTTACGACGACGTCTCCAGGATAAAACAGCCCGTTCAATAAGGTACGATTGATAAATCGTCCTGAAATACACCTTTCTAAGTCACAGTATCAGTCGAAAATAGTCAGTCGAAAAAACAAGAAAAAACAAGAAAAGAATTGGTAGACGAAGAGAATTAAGGGAGAGAATAGGCAGCTAGTAAGGCTGAGTAGGGAGAAATTCGTGGTGAATGGAGAAAATCGTGGGAGAATGGGAAATATTGGATCTAGTCAATATGGCAGTTACTGACCAATTATTTTCTTAATTAATTAATTAATTTTCCACCGAATTATATTAATTAATTAATGATAATTAAATTCTATAAATTCGGGTCCAAAAAATAATTCATCTAGACCGGACCGAACCGAACCGAGCCGGCCGACGGCGGCGGCGCACGCACGTGTGTGTATTGATGGTCATGGGTGTGTCCTCACTCCTTTCACAAAATTGGGTGCCCTTTAGGGCCCAACCCAATTGACCAAGTTGGAATATATAAACACTACTAATATTTCCATTCCCTTCAATGTGGGACTAAAATGAATCTTTTCAAATTCACTTCTATATTAGTTCTTACTTGTGTTCATTTATTACCCATTAATTGTCAATAAATCTTTCCAATTCCCACTCTAATTAATATAATTCCAACATTCCCCCACTTGAATTTAAAAGAGATTTTAGAAGTACGTCAGACGTTTCTAAAATTGAGCATAAGCAAAGGTGTCTACGACTTGAACCTTAGCATAGCGAGTAGGATTCTGATTTAACAAGAGTGACACCATTGTCTTGAACTCTATCTCGAACATCAGACCCGCACACAACCTTTCCGTAAGGTGTATTCTTGTAGCTCGTGCTTTAGTGGCCCTGCACGTTGTTGCACCCCAAAATTTGCCCAACTTTTCTTTACCTAGCTTATGTTTCATTTCATTCACATTAGCATTATCATTTGCATTTCATTGACATGTATGCAGGAGATCAAGAGGTATGATTACCAATCAAGAACTATACAAGACAGTGAGGCTAGCTAAGAAGGTTACTCAGATGTTCAAGGGTTGATATCCTTGTCAGAGAAGTTAAAGGATCCTCAGAGAGAGTGGTTGAAACCAAGTATGTAGGTCTCCTAACTTGAGAGTTATGGGGAGGACCATCAGATGATTCTGAGGCCATGAAGATGGACTTGAGGTCTTGAGAGAGCTCATGAGAAGAGTTGAAGATCACTTTGAGGCCTAGACAGGTCATTGTGCAAGATTAAGAAGACTCAGCCATGAGTGGTGCAATTAGGGTTTGACTGGGTCAACCCTAAGTCAACTGATGATTTGAAGGAAGTTGAGACTTAATTCAAGAGCCATGTGATCATGGACTGATACATTGAGATGTTCTAAGGATGATCCCAAGGTCAACTCATCATGATTGAAGAGTTTGAGAAGTTTCAGGCTAGGGTTTCTAAGACTTGACAGTGTAAAATCCCCTAGTTTGACCCCTGTCTTCAAGGCAATGTAGCTCAAGATATGATTGTCATCTCATCTTGACCTCAACATGATTGTTGTAGGGCATGGTATTAGCTTTAATTTTAGTACTAGAAGTCCTTGATAGGGTTTAGAGAACTCAAGTTATGAGTCAGACAAGTAACAAGTCATCTGAGGCATGTGAATTTGGAGCTTGAAAGTTACCCAACTTGCATGACACTTTTGCCCAAGAAGGATGATTCCTATGAACTTTTGGTCAACATGAATGTTGTTCCTTATCTTCTTATATTTCTAGAGAGTACTAGAAGTCCATGATAGGATTTGTAGAACTCAAGTTATGGCTTTGACAAGTCAAGGGCATTTTGGGAAGTTGTGATTATGGGTCATTTTTGGTTATAGGTCATTTTCACCAACTTAGACATCTCAAATGAAATTTTGTTCAACTTGAAAGTTTCTCAAAATGGGGTTTTAACCTTGACCATGTATCAAGGAGGCATTGAAATGGCTCAAGGAGAGACTTGATTCAAGAAATTGTGAAAAAGGAAGAATTAAAGAGAATTAAAGACCGAAAATTCAAAATAAATGATATGTGTGCAAATGAGGAAAAATAATAGCATTTTTTGAATGGAAAATGCATTTTAGAAACATTGGCAATATTAGATTTTTTCTTTGAGTTCAATTTCATGTACTTTTATCTCATTGCTTCATGATGAAGTAACATAAGATACATGAGCCATTGGATTGAAACAAGGGGAGAATCACCACCAGTCATGTTCAATATCTCATGAGAAGTTGAATGCAAGCTAGATGAGGCCAAAACAGAGAGGAAACCATGACTGCCATGAATGAGATTTTGGTGAGAATTTGAAATTCCAAGATCTCATTCTGAAGCTTTGAGAAACTTCTGGATGATTCTATCAAGTTCTATATAAACCACTGAGTGTGTTCAGCCATTTTTTTGGAGGAGTTTGAAGCTGGTAGCAGAAAGAGCAATTGAAAATTCAGAGTTGCAAGTGAAGATCGTGTTCTGAGTTCAAGGAGGAATCAAGGCAAATTGAAGGTGGCATTAGCTTCAGAAGGTGATTTAGAGTGAATCTGCATCATCTTGAAGGTTGAATCGAGCAAGAAGTGCTTCTGTCACACCTCTGAACTCAGGTTGGTAACTTTCATCCTTGTGCATAATTTAGGAGGAGATAGATAGAAATCAATAGGTGGTTAGGATCCTTGCAATGTGTAGTTGGATTTAGGATCAGAAATTGGTGAATTAGAGACAAACTAGGATGTGGATCATTTTCTGTTGAGCTTTGGATTAGGTGATTCTTGGACTGTTAATCAAGATTGGATAGTGTAAAATGGTCACCATGAGATGAGGATTACATTTGTGCATTTAATTGAAGTTCTGATGAGATTCAAGATTGAGGTATATTTTGAAAGAGCTATCGGGTTTGAAAATCCATGGGGAGTTAGAGGATTCTAAGGTTAGATTCGTGATCAACATTGAAATCTGAGTAGAATGATGTATGGTTTTGTGACTTTGGCTGACCTGCGTGAAGAACCTCATCGGAGAAGACGGTGGCGCCACTGCTCAGGCCACCGTCTGAACTCTCC